GAACCATCGGCGCAATCGGCGGCATGGGCTTCCTTTCGGTCATCCTTTGCAATGTGTGTTTCCCCGAGATTATCGAGCGCCGTTTCATATATGCTTACTCTGGTGGCTTTCTAGTTTGCAGGAACTAATATCGGCACCACGATCCTTTTATCACGGGTCATCCAAGCTTGGCAGAGGATACACATGGTTCCCGGCAGCAGCGACATTAGCGATCGGACGTTCTGGGCGACGGTGTACAGCATGGCGCTCGGCGTCAACTACGGCGCCTTCAGTACCGCCTTTAGCGCATCGTTGGCAGGGCTGCTGTGGCGTGACATCCTCGAAAGGAAGCACATTCACATCCGCAGGATGGAGTTTGCCCGCGTCAACGTTCCCATCATCGCCATCGCCATGACCGTCGGCTGCACGGTCCTCGTGGGGGAGATTTACATTATGAGGAATGACGACCCGTACCACTTGTGAATACGTTTTCGGGGGCCAACAAGCGCTCCTCATACATACCAGACGGCGAAGAGGGCCGCAAAAAACATGATACCCAGGAAACATGGTATTTTCCAAGTTTTCCAAGTCGTGATGCCCACACTGTTCGTTGACCAACACTGTGAATGCATCGCCACCTTCAACCGGCAAAAAATCACACGATGCGCTGGAGGGGTTACTGATTAGTGGATCAATTGGGGGCCGGGGGTCCAAGACAAGGCTCCCCGCGCAAGCCAACGAACCTATTGTGGACACCACCAAGAAGCTAAGACCTTGCCCCTTCAACGAATCCGCTCCGCCTCGAGGCTCCAACCCAGCGCAGGGCCTCTTCACTCATCACCAACGACAACTTGTCGCAAATGACTGGCACAACCCATGGCTGCTTCCCAAACCCATCATCGTGCATCCTTACCCGGCCTGACTGCGGCAAAAATAGTGGGGGCCCAAGACGCTCGCCGTCACACGGCGGGATGTCTCTGGCGCAGCCGCTCGTCTGGTGGCTGAGTGACGAGCGATTACTGGACGTGCAGATCGAGGTTACCCTCTCCCTCATCTCCACGCACCAACAGCCCCAAACGGTCCTGAATAAGAGCAAGATCGTCTCGTGGTCTTCAGGCAGCGAGCCGAGGGCACAAATCCGCTGCGCCTAGGCGGCGGCATGTCATTTTTCACCTTGCCATCGTTCGGCCCTACAGACGGGGGCCTTTCTTCAAGTGACAGGCAGGCAGGAAATCACATCGCCAAGGTGGGGTTGTCTCCTCACGGCAGGATTCCCGCGCCGCGGTCCGCTTACACAGCCGCGCTTCTGTGCCGTCGGCTTCACCCAAAACACGCCGTTTCCCGCTTTCGTTCCCCTTGTTCTGTATCTCTCCCATGTGCCGCGATAATGATACCAATTCTGGGTGCACAGAGAAGGGGAGGGGGTATATCTCAGTTGGCGATCGTCGAGTAAGCGTGCCGGGGCGGTTAAGCAAGCCGAGGGTCCGCACTACGAAATGGCACGCTGAGCGGCACGGCTTGCAGGAGCTTACAATAGCCAGCCCAATCGCGGGGGTTAGCAGACCACGGAGGGGTTCATCGGGTTAGACGGGCGGACGGGAGGATCAGCATAAGTCAGCACGATATGAAGCTGACTGCATGGCGTTTCTGGCTTTCGTGTCGTCGGAGAGACGGGATTTAAGAGGCGGGTTTGCGGATTAGGTAGCTTTTTGCACGCACAACTCAATTCAAAAAAATCCTTTCAGGTACCCGGTGCAGTCGCCATTCACCGATTGGTGTTCTAGGGGACCGTCGGGTGTGCGAACTTGAACCTAAAATAGGTTCTGGGGGTGAGTTTTTATGTGAGATGGGATGACTTCGACTCTGCTCCGGAAGCCCAGGCACCCTCGACGTTTCGTCAATGGAGCGCGCGCTGTTCTGGTCAATAGATGGATATCCTCTGACAAACGAGGAAACGCAAACACAATGTTTTTTTGGCCAAGAAACGATGTTTCAACTCCACCCCGTCGCATCGAGGTAGCAAGCGGACTATTGAGGCCGTGCTGTGATGTAGTGTCACTCTGCACAGAAGCGCAGCATCGCGGGGCGGCTCTCCCCCAATTGCGGCCTGCAGCCTGTTTACACGGCCGATCAGTTCGTACAGGCAAGAGAGTTTGACGCCGCGCTGTTGTACGGATGGATAACCTGCCTGTCTCTTGCGTTTACCCCGCCACTAAGCACTCCCCGTACTTGGTTCATGTTAGTGAGCGGGGCGATTTTGAATAGACCACGGCGCGGACTGAAGCCTTTGCCTTCTCAGCAGCTGCCAGAGTGGGGAGATTTTAAGAATCGGCGGTAGATGTATGACGAAGTCTGACTGAAGATCCAACGGATGGGGGTCGGGCTATCAAAAGAAGCGGGCAACCAACCAACCGATACTGGCGGGTGTGCGATCGTGTACAACCCGTCTGTCAGCCTAATCCTTTCCGGGGTCGGAGTCCGGGTCCGAGGTTCAGATCTATCCGTACTCTGTCTGATGTATGTGCCGTCGTCCTGTGTTCGATGTTGACGCAAGAGGGGCAGAGGGGGAGGAGCCCTAACAACCTCCGGTATCTCTCCGCACCGAGCATCGTTTCCTGAGACGTTCGGTACATGGTCGTCGCAAAGAGCGCAGCGCCCGCGGACTGGAGATGAACTCTGAATATCATGCCTCGTTGCGGTTTTTGGCCTGCGTGCGAATTCCGAAGGGGGGGGGGAACCCCGGACAAACACCACACTGCAGCCCGTTGAAACGGGTGCACAGGACAAAGAGGGAGGCTCCATGCGTTGCTGCGTGCCCCTGGAGATGGAAGGTAGAAATGGGCATAGTTTAGAGTTGCAGGGCAAGCCAGACTTCTGCTGAATGTCCTTGTTTCTCGAGCCCAGGCGTGCTTCTACAAGCGACTGGCCGGTTGGATTTGAAAAAGGCTGAGGCTGCCCTTTCGACCATCGTTTGTTGATTGTTCCCCCTGGCGATTTGAAGAGGCTCATGAAGAGTCTTTCCCCGCCCGCCTCTTGTTTTTGCTGGCCAGCCGTTGCTGGTGGCGGGCCCAGCCCATGTTTAATCGCACGATGCCACGCTGCGTTCCTTTGTTGCGAGTGCGAAGGTCGAGTCGTTGTAGGGCGTGGGAAAGAATAGGCTCATGAGAGACAAAGGAGCGGCTGGCAGGCCAGAACCCAGACGGCGTGGGATAAACGGTCTCACGGCCGCTCGCCACGAGCATGTTGAGCTTGTAAGTTCCATGAGTCTGTTTTCTTTCTTTGTTTTGCCCCTATTTTGCCAGCCCAGCCCGGTTCAACCGTTGTCGCCGGCCTCATCGCGTGATTGTGTGATGTGTAAGTGACTCGATGAAGGAAGTTGGGGGAAATGTCAGCCAGCCCACAGAGGCCTGACTAAACCGCGAACACACTGATGGCCGGGGGTTCCCCCCCTCAAGCTCCGCCTCGCGGGTTCCTTCGCTGGGGGGGTGGGCCCCTGTGGAAACCACATACCCCAGGCCTGGAGAGGAAAGTTCTCCTTGGTTCATCCAACAAGCTCAGCGCACCACACTCTTGTCAGCCCCTTCCCCCTCCCCCAGGGTCTGGCCGAGCAGAGGTTGTTGGTGCTGTGCTGAAAAAGGCTCATGCTAAACCGAGTAAGGCCTTCGTCGGCAGGGGTGACGAGGGTTCTAAGTTGGGCTGTTGCAGTGGGTGAGAGTGGTACAGCGTGCAGCGGTCCAATTGTAACACAACCGCGCAGCGGTGTTCACCTCAACCGCCACAGTTCCGACAGGCCGATCGACGTGTGACGCCTCTAATGAATTCCACAGAGCCACGGAAATCACCAGGCAGACGAGGCACGCGCCGGGAAAGCGATCCGTCAAGCCTCGGCGGTGCCCCCAAAGGCTCAATTTCACGTCGAGATGAGCGGATGGGCAGGCGGACATGGCATTAGATCCTGCAATTCTGTCTCTTCCCGCAGATTACTGAGGATAACAGCAGGAAGAGAGAAGAAGGAAAGGCAAAACCTCGTCACGGACATGTGCCATTACAATTCAGCATCATCCTACACGCCCCTCCTAGGCACCAAAGACCCCCCGGGGGGTTCAGCTGCTGTTGGTTCGGGCGGCAGAGCGGGTTTGGGTGACGGGACATGGGGGCCGGGGAGAATGGCGCAGCCAATGATGGCCGCTCTGATGGCGTCCTGCAGCAATGCGTCGACGAGACAGTGTGCCTTGCCTCTCTGGGCCGCTGCTGGGCATCTGCCTGCTCTAGCTGGTTTGTCGCTGTTGCTATTCCCAAACGTGCCCTCTTTTTTGTTTCTCTTTCCCCCCAATACTTGTACCCTTGCAACCATGCCTCGTTATGCACACTCCCTGTTCATGGGTCCTCGAGGAAACGGCCTACGATCCGCCCGGCGGTGCTTTGCTCGTGCTCTTGCGCCGCGGTGAACCCATGCCGGGGTTCACACTGCTGCATTTGAAGCTGTGCTGATTGCACTTAGGTAAGGTAGGTAAGTTAGGTAGCTCTTGAGATGGTGGGAAGGGAGTCAGTCTTAAGGACCTCCCATCCCGCACCTCTTCTGCCCCTCGACACGGACTCTTTTCTAGGTCAGCGCAGAACTGCATATCGACATTGAAAGCTCGAGCGGGAGTCATTGTGAAGGGGCATGCTGCTGCTGATGTTGTTGTTGTTGTCCTTGCTTTTGTGCAGTCGTCCGGAGTATCAGTGACCTGCACTTCGTCTTCACATCGAGTCACTTACACACACCCGCCACCCCCCTCTGCCTCTTCCACCCCCACCATATCCGAGCAGCTGGCACCACCGGAGGCCGGCGCCGGCGCACACTATAACGGCACCATCGACAAGCTTGCGCTTCCCCTCCGAGGACAAGGCCGGCGGGTAGACAGACACAGACAAACCGACCAGCAAGCTCAGCGTCTGTGGTTCTAGCCCGCTGTCAACAAATAAACGCCTCCCTCCCCGTCTCTCTCCACACGTCAGTATAAGTACGGTCAGGGAGAATGGCACCTGCCATCGCCAACGCAGTCAGAGTCAGACAAGCACAAGCGACAGCAGCATCATCACAAGACACATCCCCGGGAGACCACATCATACCAAGCAGCAACGGTCTCGGCCCCAGCACCAGCACGCCGGGGAGCAGCACCACCGCCGAAGACACGACAACTACCAACACCATCACCGTCCTCATCGTCGTCATCATCCTCTGCGGCTCCGCAATCATGTCGGCCGCCCTCTTCTACATCTTTGACCGCAAAAAGAACCGCCAATTCCGCGAGGCGTGCAAGCGGGACCCGTACCTCACCCGCAAGGAGTTCACGCGGCGGCGCAAGCTGAGCGCCTTCGAGCGCCTCGAGGAGGAGGAGCTGCAGCGCAGCATCATGATCCGCAAGTCGCTCGCCAGCAAGACGCCCTCGCGGTCCACCAGCCGCGGCTCCTCCAGCGAGGAGGACGAGGAGGCGTTCAACCTGGGCACGCTGCGGCGGCACGCAGCGCTGGCGAGGATGATGCCGGAGCCGCCGTGCGAGCACCGCGATATCCTCCAGCAGCAGCAGCAGCAGCAGTATCACAACCAGCACGAGCAGGCGATGATGGGGGGCGAGTGGGCGCCCAGCGAGGCGCGGCGGGCGCGGTCCGACTCGGAGTCCTCGTCCTCGTGCGTGTCCTCGGCGGACGGCAGCAGGCGACAGAGAGCGTACGCGGAGCCACATCCGGGCGTGGAGGTGGAGATCCCGTTGCCCCCGCGATCGAGGACGCCGTCGCCGACGCGGGCGCTGATCAGGAAACCGGTGCCCCCACCTGCGACGCCGGTGGTGGTTTACATGCCCACCGGCCGTGGCAGTGACGTGTCCAGGGTGTTGCCACCGCTGCCGAGGCCGTCTGATGCGCCGGTGCATTTGCAGTGAGGTCGATGACGGTGGCCTGTCAGGAGACGATGCATTCAAGGCGCACTGGTAGTTGATTTGGTGGGATTAAACTGGCGGGGAGTATGGTGATTTTTGATGGGGTGCGCCGGACACGGCGTGTCTGTCTGTCTCTCATCATGAGATTCATGTATCTTTCTTTACCTTCTTTTCTTTTGTATTGATACCCAACGCTGAACATATTCAGAACGTTCATTTCTTTTGTTTATAAATCTCTGGAGAATAGAGAATGACTGCGAGGTACTCAAGATGTCAAGATATCGTGGGATGCAATTTTTGCTAGTAACCTGGAGGCTTCGGTGGACCAAAAATTGCAGGTCCAGACGTGTTCCATAAGCTGACAAACCTGAAGACGAGGAAGCCCCACGTGATGGTTCACGGGTGGTGCCTGCCACTGAAAAGCCTGAACCTAAAATGAGGCCTCAGCTGACTCATCCTACCGCCTCACCTGTGTTCGCTAGGCTCCAGCAGACGAAAGGCTAAAGTGTGGCATCCTCAACCCGAAACATAGGCTCAGGTTTCCCCCCCTACAACCCACCAACGTCACTCGCTCTCTCGCCTTCACGAAGATCGTCTGCAGCACCGCAAAACCGCCTCTCAGAAGCCTCATCGCCCGTTTCGGCCCTGCGTCTTCTGAAAGCAATCATTTTGCGAACCGTCGCATACGACCCCTTCGAGCCGACTGCTCCGTGATCTGGACTGGGAACTGGGACTCGGGTGGTTCTTTGTTTCGCCACTCTCGGACGCCTTCACTGGTAGAAATCGGTCGGCTGGCAAGAAAGGAGGACACTTTTGCATTTCTACTTTCCTTCTCTCCTCCTCGACTCTCCTCGAGCCGTCATCCTCTCCTGCGACTTTACCACCGTCTTCTTAATTGGTGAGAGAGGAAAACTTTCCTGCCGAAAGTCAGGAACCATGGCTCACCTGAAATGTTTTGTAGGGCATCTCCAGCGCATTCGCAGCTTCCCCGCTGAACGAGTCTACCGCCGTTCAACAAAGAAAGAGCGATCAGCCGTCTGAGGATTCCCTGACACAACGTCGTCTTCGTCAAGCAGGACTCGAGAAGTGCATCTCGACTCCTAGACAGCACAGCACCTGCGGTCGTCGTAAACAGCAACCGCCCCCCGAATACCAACCGCGATCGTCCGAAACGACAACCGCGACCATCCCGAACGGCACACGCGATCGCTCTGACCAGCAATCGCGACCGTATCAAACAGCACCGCGACTGCTTTAAACACCGCCAAACTGCATTCGCCGCTCTTTGTCCAACTCACCAACGACCTCCTCTGGACTCAGGCACACAGCGTCAAAGAACCGTCAGGCAACCACAAGGCGGTCGTCAACAAGCGGCAAGAACTCCGGCGTAGAAGAAAGGAGCTCAGGCGTCGCCGCAAGGTTTTTGACGAAAACAACAACATCTATACACCCAAGAAGTACAAGCCCAAGATGCTTCCCAGCGACAACGAAAATGCCGAAGGGTTTCGGGACGATCTAAATATGGTTGTGATGTGTCCCGACTGCAAGGAGTACCCGCCCAACCTAGTCGAGGAGTTCTCTTCGGGAGACATGGTCTGCGGCTCCTGCGGACTTGTCGTCGGCGAGCGCATCATCGACACCCGATCCGAGTGGCGTACCTTCGCCAATGACGACCAGGGCAACGACGATCCGTCCCGTGTCGGTGACGCGGTCAACCCTCTCCTCAACGGCTCCCAGCTCGAGACCACCATCGCCTTTGGTGACGGCAGAGATTCCAAGCAGCTCGCTCGTCTGCAGAACAAGTCCCAGAACGACAAGGCTAGCAAGTCTCTCATGCAGGCATACAAGGAAATTGGCGCTTTCTGCGACAGTATCAACCTGGGCAAGAACGTCTCTGACGCCGCCAAGCACATCTTCAAGCTCACCTACGACCACAACTTCATGAAAGGCAAGCCACAAGAAGCTGTCATCGCAGGCTGCATCTTCATCGCTTGCCGTCAGACCGGAGTCGGCCGTACCTTCCGTGAGATCTTCCAGGTCACGCACGTCTCCAAAAAGGAGATCGGAAGGGTGTTCAAGCAGCTCGAGTCGTTCCTCCAGAAGATCAAGGAGGAGAACCCCCGCGGTGCTGGCTCCCTGTCGAACTTGGATGGTTACAAGGCTAGTGCCTCCACCAGCGCCGAGGACCTCTGCACGCGTTTCTGCTCCAACCTCAACTTCCGCAATGCCCAAAAGATTGAGAACGTCTCTCGGGCGCTTGCACGTAAGACTTCGAGCGTTTCTGAGCTTGCTGGACGTTCCCCGCTGTCTGTCGCGGCCGCGTGTATTTACATGGCGGCTCACCTGATGGCGGAGCCCAAGACTTCAAAGGCCATCGCTGGCGTGGCCGGCGTCAGCGACGGAACCATCAAGACTGCCTACAGATTTCTTTACAATGCTAAAGGTAAACTCGTTGAGAAGGAATGGGGCTATGATAAGAAGGCTTTCGACACCCTTCCCTCAAACTAGTTGTTATCAGGTCATGGCGTTCCGGTTTGGTGTTTTGGGATGGGACACAACATAATCAGACATACATTTCTTCGTTGCAGTTTAGAATCAAGGTCAATACGATGCCGCGCAAGTCACAGTATTGGTCCGTGCTCGATGACATAATACATATTACTGCCAGAACAATGCCGAGGTGATGCAGCGGAACCCCCGCCAACGGACCGGAGCTAGACCGGGGTCGGAGCTCTGAAGGAAACCAGCTTCCCCGTATTCAACCCTCAATTGACTTCCCCGCATAGGCTGACGGATTCAGTCAACGATCAAGATGAGCAGCCTTTCGATTGGAGTTCCTTTCCGTATAGTTTCCAGGGCTGCGCGCCTACCCGTGAGGGCGGCACGCTTCCCTCGGACATGGCGTCAGTATTCTTCAGTGCCGAGCAGCAAGCTGCCTCTGGACGGCTATCGCGTGCTTGACATGACAAGAGTCTTGGCCGGAGTCAGTCGTCTACTTCCCTTGAAAACACGCGGGAGTAAAGTTGACATGAGAACAGCCATACTGTACTCAAATTCTGGGCGATCTCGGGTGAGTCTCATCCTCTGGATAAGGGTGCCCTCTCATCTCACTGACATCACCAGTGCCGAAGTCATCAAGATCGAGCATCCCACGAGGGGGGACGACACACGCGCCTGGGGCCCTCCGTACGCAACTTACAAGGCAGACTCTGGCAAGCAAGGCCCCGGCGAATCTGCCTACTTTCTCGCCGTAATTCCCACACCCCGGACACTCTTGTGAACCAGATGTTGATTCTTTGCCATAGGTAAACCGCAACAAAAAGTCGCTGGGCCTCAACTTCCAACACCCAGACGGCATCGCCATCCTGCACCAGCTCGTCGCCAAGTGCGACATCCTCGTCGAGAACTACCTCCCCGGCACGCTCGCCAAGTACCAGCTCGACTACGCGACGCTGCGCGCCATCAACCCTGGGCTTATTTATGCCTCCATCACGGGGTACGGCCAGACGGGGCCGTACTCGGACCGCGCGGGGTACGACGTCATGGTCGAGGCGGAGTTCGGGCTGATGCACATCACCGGCAGCCGCGGCGGGGAGCCGGTCAAGGTGGGTGTCGCGGTGACGGACCTGACGACGGGGCTGTACACGAGTAATAGCATCATGGCGGCGCTGCTGGCGAGGGGGAGGACGGGACGGGGACAGCATATTGATGTGGCGCTGAGTGATTGCCAGACGGCGACGTTGGCGAATATTGCGAGTAGTTGTTTAGTTAGTGGGGAGAAGGACTCGGGACGGTGGGGGACTGCGCATCGTGAGTGAATCCTGGGTCTATCCCCCCCCTTTTCTATCTGCGTGACTAATGACAGCTGGTAGCATCGATCGTGCCGTACAAGTCCTTCAAGACCAAAGACGGCGACATCCTCTTCGGCGGCGGCAACGACCGGCTCTACGGCATCCTCTGCCAGGGCCTCGGCCGGCCGGAGTGGGCGGACGACGCAAAGTACAAGACCAACGCGCAGCGCGTGGCGAACCGCGTCGAGCTCGAGGGCAAGATCGAGGCCGTCACCGTCACGAAAACCACGGCGGAGTGGCTGGCGGTGTTCGAGGGGCGCGGCATGCCGTACGCGGCGGTCAACGACGTGCAGGGCACGCTGGAGCACGCGCATACCAAGGCGCGGAACATGGTGGTCGAGATGGAGCACGGGGCGTGCGGGCCGGTGAGGATGGTGAACACGCCGGTGAAGTACTCGGAGAGCGAGCCGGGCGTGCGAACGGCGCCGCCGACGCTGGGGCAGCATACGGCCGAGGTGCTGGGGGAGCATTTGGGGTTGTCGGAGGAGAGGATTGGGGAGTTGAAGGGGGTTGGTGTTATTGGGTAGAGGCAATGGTGGTAAGGGAGTTTGGCAGTGACCAGGTGTGATAGTGCTCCGGAATTCTGGTTGGGCAGGGAAACCGGGAACTAATGCATTCTTATTTCAGCTTTGCTCGGCCTCTTCACTGCATTTTTAACCCACCCCGAGAGGCCATCACCTATCATTGACAGAATCACCACGTACCTTGCCCTCTGTGAGTGCAGATCGGGTGGCATCACGCGACGCAGCTTTCCTCTCAGCGCTTTTGGTTCTTCCTAACTGCACTCCACGTGCAGTAGGTTAACAGTGCGTTGGTGCCCTATGGAAGCCTTCGCCATAGATTGCTTCTACAATTGCAGCATTGCAGCTTGAGCATTATGCAGACTCGGCGTGCTGATGCAAAGCACGCCCCGTAACTGGGCGAGACGATCATGATTTCTTGTGTAAGGGCATGAAGAGTGAGGGAAACCAGACGACTCATTCATTGCACTGAGATCTTGAGCCCGTCTTAGACGGGGTGGCCTACCTAGCGCCACCTTTCACGAGCTACGAGGTTGTCTCCAGAGGTTTGCTGCCTTAACTTCACTGCATTCTCAACCTACTCTGGAGGGTTTGTGACCTTACCGAGACTGACCGAAAAGGTACGTGTCTTCTATACCGAAGAATATCTCTGTTCAAATCCGTAGGGGGTGTCATTGGTAAGTCATCGGCATAGAACGCTTCCTGCCCAGAGATATTTTGCTCATTTTGATGGAATGAGACCGCCTATGCATCATGTGTCTGAGCGGCTGTATTGCCTGTGATTAATTGTACTCGACCTTGCCGTCGTCAATGCTATCGTTGTTGTCATCGTTATTGTCGTTGTCCGTCGTCGTCGTCGCCTGTTGTCGTCGTCGTCGCCCGCTGTCGTCGTCGTCGCTATTGTTATCACTTCTCCTATCGTCTTCGATAGTAACAAACAGTAAGGGTAGGCGATCCCATCCAAAATTCGTGATTTCCTTTTCGGGACACAAGATCGCTAATTTCACGGCGTTTTTAGCCCACCTTGTGAGGATCTGACCTCACCGAGAGTGACCGCGAGAGTACGTACCTGCCAAAGCCCGGTGAGCACGGTCCAGGTCACGTGAAAGTCACGCGACGCAGCTTTCCACCTTCTGACCATCCGACTTAACCACCTGCCGCCCTCAATACAACTACCTGTATCTATATACGGCCATGGACAATACGATGCCCGACGACGCCTCCCGCCTGTGGGCTATTAAGCAGGAAAAAGCTGACGAGTTGAGCGCGATGCGTGCCCAAGGCGCGCAGGCCTCGAACACCAAATCAACTATCCAGACTAGTAGTGGCGTCGTGTCTACGCCTGCCACAGCCGGCCCAAGCCGACCGTTTCCTACAATCTCGAAGAACGAGGGCAAATCGCCGACGCCTTCGAGGTATACCCCACAGTTTACAGCCTCAACCAAGCAAATTTTGAGCCGAATAAAGAACGAGAATGGCAGTGGAAGCAACTCCTCCCCGTCCCTGGGCTTTACCACCGCCCAACTCTCCGCCCCAGCAAAGGCAACTTACGAGGATGTTAAGCGCAGACTCGTAGAGACGCTCAGCACATCTACAACTTTGCCAATGCCGACAGCATCACCAAGACCTACCGCAGGAGCCGCCACGCATGCCAATCAATTGCCATCACCTAATGTGGGCAAGAGAAAGCGAGGACCAGACGAGCATGACAGCAGGCCACCAACGCGCCCCACACCCCGAGACGAACCTCAGCCCGTTGCCATCCAGCCCCCGAAACCGCCTGCCAAAAGGAAACGCGTCAAGGATTCTTCCATGTGTGTGAAGTGCCAGCGCAGCTCGGATACTGCCGCAAACCTAATCATCACTTGTGGCTGCGGCGAGGCCTGGCACCAGCTCTGTCACGATCCCCAGGTCTCTGAGGAAATAGCCAGCAATCCTGCCTCTTTCAAGTGCAGCACTTGCGTCGTCGAAGACAAGGCGCAGGCTAACTACCAAGCCAAACTGACTAAGTACCGCGAGGCGAAACAGCAGCAATCCGATCTGAAGAAGCAGCGGGCCGAAGTGGAGAGAATGAGGTCGAGGAATCTCGAGGGTCTGCCGGATTTTATCAAGCCTGAGCTGGTAGGATTCGGGGCTGGTGATGCCAGTACTGATGCGGTATGTGATCCGGATGAAACGCCAAGAGCGAGCGCTGAACCCAAAAACAGAGGAGAGAGTATTTCGAGGAACTCCGTAGGACTGACTTGCTCAATCTACTGTCTTTCAGTGAGCGAATCAAGCCTGGTCTGTTGGTGGACATTCTCGTTTCGGTGTCCAAAAAGCAGCCAGATCTTCCCATCTTTCGTTCGCCAGACTGGGCTCAGCCGAGGGCGGTATGACTACCTTCCTGTCTCGGAGACTCATAATGCTAACATGCCAGCAGCAGCCCGAAAGCTCTCGCACGAATGTTCTCGCAAACGGCACTGGAAACCACTTGCCACCCAAGCGTTCCAAGCAACGCTCCAAGCCGGGTGGTGTGCGCCCGATTTTGCAGTTGACGACCGCCCCTGAGGCCGATGCTGTACCAGAGGACAACGAGGACGATTATCTTCACCCTAATTGGCCCAAAGCAGGAAAGGGACTCTATGCCACCCTGCCCCCGGAGAAGGAAGACTCACATTACCTGGAGGACGATAACGACGAGGAGGCATTCAGCCATTTCTTTGTTGATGGTAATGGAAAGCAAGTGGCACAGCCGGTCAGGGTTTAGAATGCCCAGTCGCACCAGATGGATGTCGACGACGGCGATGAGGGCAGTGCCAGCAGTAAGACCAAGGGGAAGGGAAAGGCGGTTGCCAGGATTGCCGCTCAGAAGCCAGCCCAGAAGCCAGCTCAGAAGCTGGGTACCAGCACCAGCAGCAACAAGGCGAAGTTGAAGGGGGAATCAGCCCCTGCGGGATCGGCGACTGAACTGATAGAACTCGACAATGGCGAGGGCAGCAGCAAGGCGAAGGGAAAGGGGAAGGCTGTCTTGATTGTACCTGTCGTTGAGCTTGACATCGACAACGGTGAGGGAAGCAGCAAGGGAAAGAGCAAGATTCCGAGGTACACGGGGGGCGCGGCGACGAAGACGGCAAAGTCTAGAGCCAAGAGTACCAATAAGGGAGGCAAAGCGAATAAGGACCCGAATAAGACGGCGACGACGAAGACGACAGCAGCAACAACGACGGAAGCTATGAGGACCGCCGCTGTGGTAGTACATCCCGCGCAGCCGCAACGCCGCGGTCGCTCTACAAGGACGAGTCTGTCAGCGGCTGCCGATGCTGAGCTTTACACCAACCATCCGGAAGCCCGAAAGCTGGCGGCCTGGTTCTAGTGTTAGATGCCAACAGTTAGGTATAAGAGTAGCACAGAATCAATACCCAAAAAGCGGCTGAATAATTGAACACACCTCCTACCATGTGCTGTGGCTGCTGTAATCCTGTGTCAATGCCCTTGTCGTTGTTTGTCGTCGTCGGTCGTCGTCGTATCGCTTCGTCGTCGCTCGCAGTCGTCTTAGTCCAGCACCAATATACCCCCCGCCACGACTCACGGCATTGCATCACCGCAGCAGTTGCAACATCCGACGTTTCCACGGGAGCAAGCTTCTCCCCTAATCTCGATTCCCTGCTTGATCGCGCGAATCCGAACAATTAAAAAGTTGGGACGAATAGGAAGTCTGATGGGACCATCGGCGTATGTAACCCCAAAATCAGACGGGCGGACGTTGTCTGTCATCCCATGAAGAACGAATGCATTGAATGACTGCAGTGAACGACAGCATCTCCACTTGCTCAATGCCGCTGTCAGGATGTATTTGCATTATCATTATGTAGTTATGGCTCATGTGATGTCTGTGTACGTCTAAGTGATTACTTTTTTTTGCGTCCTCCTCCGTGTGAGAATAGGGCAGGGGTCATGTAGGTCTCGTCACGGCCACGGGCGGCGGACTCGTGCTCCCGCTCGCGATGGAATCCGCAGAGACGCTCACCCCGCCCACGCTGTCCTTCACTCTCCGGGTGCCCATGCGCACAGGCAGCGGCACATTCACCAGCCCCTCCCTCCGTGACTCATCCCTCACGAACCGCGCCGCCTCGAGGTCCACCCCCCGCGGCGGCGGCGGCGGCGGCGCGGCGCCCATCTCCTCGCCGGCGCTGCTGCCCAGCCGCAGCGCGCTCTCGCCGGGGGCGCGCCCGCCGGTGAAGAGCTCGCGCGCGTCGCCCGAGTAGCGCTTGACTTCCTTGGCGAGCCAGTGGCGGCACAGGACGACGAAGAGCAGGTTCCACAGGCCGAGGCCCCAGAGGAACATGTAGGCGAGGACGCGGCCGTAGGCGTCGGACATGCCCCAGTACTCGAAGTCCGGGGCGAAGACGTCGCCGCCGAGGGCGATGTAGACGGCGAAGACGGCGATGAGGCCGAGGCCGAGGGCGAGGCGCAGGAGGAGGGCCCAGCCGGGCCAGGGGTCGTGGGCGTGGACTATTGAGCGGGCGTCGAGGAGGATGTCTGTGGAGAGCATGATGATGAGGGCGACTGCGGCGGGCCTGGAGGGGTGTTAGTGTCTTTGGTCAGGATGAGAGTGAGGCGGTAGTTACCCTGTGCGATATGTCAGGGGGAACGGCACGTTGTACAAGAACCACGACATGATCCATAGCAAGATGCTCGCGGCGGCGACGTGCGCCACGTCGTTTGCGATTTGCGCACGGAGGAGCCAGCGCTTGAACTGGCGGGCTTGTCGGTGGTTCGGGCGTCGTGAGCGGCGGACTCGGGCCCGGTGTCGGGGTGGAGGGGGGATCGTGAGCGGTGGTGGACGGTGGGGACGTTCCATCTTGTCTGTGTGTGCGTTATGTCTGCCCTTCTGATTGATGTTGAGAATGAGAAAGCCCGGCGATGAAAAAAGCAGATGAAAAAAGAGACTGAATTATCGGTCGGTAGCGGGGAGGGGTGAAGATGGCGACGGCCGAATGGTCTTGATCATCGCTGTATGTGTGTATATTGATCAACTTTGTCGCGAGATGTCGAGTTATTCGTTCTCGTTATTTTTGGTTCTGCGTGTCGTTTTTTCAAACTTCGCCCGGGACAGATTATTCAAAGGTAAACTCTCTGGCATGCCAGTGACGACGACTCTGGTGCAGAGCGAAATGAGTTCAAGACACACGCCAGCCGGAAGGGAAGAGACGAAAAAACAACAAAATGGATGTAATAATAAGACCTTTGGGCTGTTTCCCCGATGCGGCGTATGTCTCAGGCGGGAAGTATAAGGTAAAATATGAGGCAAGCGTAATATTAAGGTAGGATGGCACTGATGGCAGCCGAAAACCTTGGAGCGAGCCTAAAACGAGGAAGGGGACTAGAAGAAACGCGGCAGGCCCAGTCGCAGACGGGTGTGTTGTCGGGTGGTATTCTTGATCTTAGAGGCAGAGCGTCCGGAGTTGGTGTGAAGCAGTTTGGAGGGCTGTTTTCAGCTGAATCGAATCGGCGATCATTCATGGGCAGGCAGGTCGGACTAGACGACGTGGCCGGGGACAGGGTATGATTCTATTTCGGACGGACTCAAGATGACATTAACAGACGGTAGGTCGTCCGTCGTATGCAGGAGACAGATAGTAGATAGTCGGGACGGAGGGAGGATGAGATGGGAGGAGATGAGATGTGATGATCGCCGCCGCCCTTTCAACCCACGACCGGCGGAGTGAAATGTCGAAATGCACAACAGCAAGCAGGGAGCGGGAAAAGAAAGAAGAACATCCAGATCGTTGGGCCGGACACGGTGAGGAGGGCGGCCCTTTTGAGAGACGGCCCGGCGACGGAGATGTCCTGGAGATGATGCATGTCTGTCTGGCTGGCTGGCTGGCTCGCAGAAGAGTCTTGGCTTTTCGGGGCGAGGGGAGGGGGGCTGGTTTGGGGATGCAGATGCAACAAAGCATCCGTCTTGTTGCTTCCCGAATGCGGTCCCGCGAGCGAGTGATGGAAGAAGGCCTTTTCGTCCAATTGGCCCCGGCGCAGACCAACCCGTGATGCCCCTGCAGCTGCTTCGGCACTGCGCTCCGCCCGCAGTAGCCCCGGTTTCCAGGGGGCCTCAGCACCCACAACAGCAGTTAGAGCTCTCCTCCAGCGGGGCATCTTCCAATGGGGCGCTGTAGCTGCCTCGGTCAGCACACCTGGAACTGCGCACTTGGCCATCCTGAAGGACGCCAAGCACTTCCCGTCCATCGTGGGGTTTTCGCAGGGGGCCCTTACTGCTACGCCCAGGGGCCAATGCTCCGGGGGGGGGGTCGGACGAGTCTCAGACCAGACGAACCTCGTTGCAACGCTGTCAGTCCGACGACAGCGTCGCCGTTCTTTTCTCCTGTCTTCTGTGCTTGTTCCCGTCTATTCTGGCCCGATGGCCGTGACGGCTGGCGGATGACTGAGACATTGGCGTCCCTCTCCTTGGTGACCGGGACCTGCTGCTGGAGACATCCGGATTCCTCGCCCTCGGCCCGACGCTTCATGGGAATCCTCCTTCCATTTGTTCTTTGCCATGTCGCAAGGTGCTGACATAACCCTCTCTCTGATTGCTTTAAATGTGTTTGCCCAGCCACAATCTGCCGTTTGAATATCGCACACGGACACGATGGAGTCATGCAGCTCGGGAACCCCCAGCCACTCTCCGCCCTACGTCCGTCGTCAATCCCATCTTTCCTACTGCAGGGAACCTGGAAACGAAACTTCGCTGTCCTTTCCATGTACGGAAACTGCACACTGAATCGTTTCTGAAATCCATATCGCATATGCTATTGCTGGACACGAATGCATTACTACATGCAGAAGCCGTTCGCATGTATTCTGACTTGGGATAACCGCCCATGCGCAGCTGCGAACCCGCCGCCCACAAACCCGTTCAATAAATGGCATCTCTAATCCTTCCTTTTTGACACCTGTCAGGCGAGTCTTGTCCTCGGTATACGATCCGGCTGGCGTACTCGTTCCGAATTGCCCGTTGCCGCCGAGGCGACGTTACCGAATACTATCCAGGCAATCCCATCTTCGCGTCGGCGGGTATCTTTGTCATAATATTCGTCATCGTCTGACGTACGGCTAGGGATAATGCCGCTCCATGTCGAAGCCATGGCGATACTATCGAGTACATCTCTGTTTGGTTCCTGGCCGAGAGGTGGTTGGAATGTGTTTCAACGTGGTGCTTTCGATGATGACCTGAAGCCAAATAAATTTGCAGGTTCTTTGGAGAGCTAGTCCAACGACTTTTGGCGCTTCTTTTGATCCGGAATCCTCATGAACACCTTTCTCGGACTTGCTGGCTTCTCGGGCTCCTAGGATGTTTCTGCCGTTGCTCGTTTGTTCGTGGCCGCTGAACAGACTTGCTTTGAGCTTGTCTTTTTAATGGACAAGGGGTCGTCTTCAATTTCTTCCGCTCGCCGCTTGGTTCCTTGCTTCTTTCGATGTCGACGAATAGAGACGGTCGACCGCAGGAGTTCGTCGAGACTCAAATGCGGTATGGCTGAGGTGGAAGTCTTGCGGCCGACGCTCATTTCGTCGCTGGTCTGCACGGACTTCTGCGGATGTATGTTGCGAATCTCGATAGCCTCTGGAGACGATTCTGTCGCGTCGTTATATCCCCGAACAGAGTCCTCCTCGTCATCGTCAATGTAAATCACCTTCGACGGCCTCCATTTTCGTGCCAGCTGCTCCTTCTGCTGGGCGATCTTATCGATCAAAGCGTACTGTGCCCGCACGCCCTCAAACTTGGCCCAGTATTCCTTGGCTTCGTCGTCGTTCTCTGCCAGCCGAACCTTTTCTTTCGAGGCAGCCCATGCCGACGACAAGGTGTCGTGAGACCTTTTGGCGAGGAGCAAGGCCTCAATCGCGATCTTTTTCTCGCGAGCATTGAGAGACGTGGCACACATCAAAGCCTTGTGGATCAGGTTCTGGCAGCTCAATTAGTCTTGGGGAATGGAAGCATGGTATGGTCCACTTACATCTCGCTCAGGCATTTTGGCGGATGCTTTTTACAATCCGACGTGACGTGGTGGTGAACAGGACGCGAGTAGAGGTCGGGAGGTGTCATTGACGTGTTCGCCAAAAGAAAAGAGGTGAAGACTTTCAGTATGCTTAAGTTCATGTTCGGAAGGAAGGAAGGGGGTGGGGTGTCCGTCACCAACCTGGAAGACATCAGGCGGGTTACGGGCAGGTATTTAGTTAGGAAGCAACTTCCACGAATGGCCGGTTCATCTAACAAAAGCTCTGAAATTGGAAGTAAAGAATATGCTGGGTATCGATGGCTGCTTCCTTCCTTTCTTGCGCCACCCCCGGCCCCCGGCCCCCCTCCTCTCTCCCCTTTCCAAAAAGAAAAAGCAAACGAAAACAAAAAAGCCTGTAATCTGGGGAGAAGACCTAGCATATCTCGTTCACTTACCTGGCGCGACGATGGCATGGTTCTTTGAAGGTGCAGGACGGTTGGGCTCCCAGAAACTGGAAGCAACAAAGCCGGTCTTGCCCCTCGGCTGCATGCCGTTGCAGTTGCGATGATTTTTGTGGGTGGCGAAGGGTAACGCCGACTTTTACCAACTCACTCCTACAACCTGCAAACGAGTTTCGCAATTGGAGCGGATGGCTTGCCGGGAGAACATTTACCCTCTTCACAACTCGTACCATTTCAACTATTACACTGAGACTGCTATTGGCGCGGACCTCTTGTTTGCTGTAAGGTGATGTTGCAAGACTTTCACCCCAGCCTATCAACGTTTCTAGCATGACTTCAACTGAGCGCAGACGATCTCAACCCCGTCTAAGAACACTAGTTACATCGCTTCTGACTGATTATTAGAGGATGAACTTCCAAGTTCCGTCTGTTTTCTCCCATACATCACGCGGTAAGAGCTGAATACTACGTCGATGATATGACTTGACAATCAGCCGGGGCGGGGTGCTGGGCAAGAGCCTAAACCTCGAGTACTTTCGTATAGTCCAACATCATGAAGCAGAAGGACAAGTATAAAGGGCGTCATGTCTCCGGTGTCAACATCCATTGTCAGCAGAGAAAAATCAATCGTGCCAAGCTGCTCAAAATGCGGGCTTTTCAAGTCTTTCAATTCATATCCTGCCTCTCGGCAGTGGCTGTCCCTGCTTTAGCATACAACACAACGGCCCCTGAGGGCTTGAAAATTACCGACACTTTCACCCTCGATGGCATGTCTTGGACTGTCTACGAGGACTTGCTGGAGCCCGGAGGCGACATTGTTATGGTACCCGACACCGGATTGACAAAGCGATTTGCAACGCGACTTGAGGCTACCAAAACTGGGGCCGATTCAACTGTGCCTCTTTTCATGGGCATGAACCCGGCCGAAGTCAACCAAGCACCGAATGACCTCCTTGCCGACGCGCTGCTCAAAGACGGGGAGCCTGATGAGGCTGCTGTCCGAGACGTCCTGCCGTTCCCCAACATCGCGGGCTGGGACACCTTCCTCGGCAACATCCAAGCCAACGATACCCTGACCGTGCGAGCGGACGCAAGAACCTGGAACTACTTTCCGCTGGACTTCCAAGAGAAAGACATCCTTGGAAATCCGGAGTATAACAATTGGACTTATGACGGCCTGCTGGGCAGCTGGCGGCCAGGCTCTCGCAAGGTCTTCCGCCACGGACACGACGGCCAGGACTGGGCCGAATCCATCGCCTTTGCTGATGTCGACTCTAACGAGCCCATTATCGTTCATGTTTAGTACCGGACCACCTTTGTGGTCAACGGGCGAGTAGAAAGCCGCGTCTTTGCATACGACTATCCCGAAGACCTGCCCGCACGCCCGAAGCCCTCTTCTGCCGATTTCTATCGCGCGCTGCTACGCTTTGGCACATATTGGGAAGAGCGCCTCGCTGATGTTATCGAACTTAACCTGCCTGACTCCAGCTGGGCCGACCTGACCAAACACGCCTTTGGAATAGAACTCGTGCAGCGGTACGGCGACGGGGTGTACCCGAAATACGGCGCCTACGACCGTCCTAATGTCGGCTCTGAGATTGACGACTTTCAAGATACCTTCACCAATTCGCTTTACGCTAACCTCCTATGCGGTCGCTTTGACCAAGCTCGCGCTGTTACCGAAAACTACCTGCGCGACTTCGTGTCGGACACGGGCGATATTGATATGCGCGGCGGCGAGATACCTCAGTATGGTAAGTCCTTGTCGTTTTTGACAATGCATGTCGATTACACGGGCGACACAGCTTTGCTGGAAACCTATCGCGACAAGATTCTGGCGTGGGTTAACATCATCACGACCCGTCACGATGAGAGTCTAGAACTGGACCCCTCTGATCCTTTCTACGGCCTGATCCACGGATGGAGTGAATCCGACTCCGTCATAGTCCATCCTAAGTACTACAACCTGCCTCACTTCAACAATCAACCCTACGCGGTTCGAGGCTTGCGGGATCTGAGCCGTCTGGAGATGTTCTCCGAGTACGCTGCCGACTGGACCAACCGCGCCGAAGTGATGCTCAACCAGACCGTCGCCAGCATCAAATCGTCCACTTGGCAGGACACGAACCCGCCCTACGTCCCCCCGCTACCGAACCAAAACCTCACCGCAATCGACTCCCTTGCCACGGAGTGGCCGTCAATGAATAGATGGGCTCATCGCGCCCTCGCAGAGCTCCTCCAGGCCGCCGTCTTGCCCGTCGAGCTCGTAAACACAGTCATCGACTCCATGAAAGCCAACCACTTCACCTCCATGGGGCTCCTGGCCAATCTCCTCGTCCGCAAGCCGGAGAGCCGCGACATCCTGGGCTTCATCGGCTCCGGCTACGCCCTGGGCCTGCTCCTGGCCAACCGTACCGACGAGTTCGTCCTCTTCCTGTACGCCCTCCGTTACTACATCCACAACCGCGGCAACTGGATCGCCGGCGAGGTCATGTACACCAACGGCGCCGGCGGGCTGTACTGCCAGCCTGCCGCCTTCGACATGCCCGTGGTCATGCGCGCCGCGCTCGTCCTGGAGCATCCCGACGACAACGTCTTGTACCTCGCCCGCGGGCTGCCGCGCGCCTGGGTCGCGACGGGTGACCCGGTCAGCATCCGCGGAGCGCCAACGCGCTGGGGGCGTGTGGACTTCAGCACCTTCGCCGACATCGCGGCTCGGACAGTCACTGCGGAGGTCTCGTTTCTCGGTGGGAGCGTTCTTTCTGAGGTCCGCGTCAAGTTGTGCGTCCCGGCTGGGGAAAACCTCGGGAACGTGACTATCAACGGCGCTCCCGCAGATGAGGTGATAGGAGAAGAAGTTGTGCTGCGGATAGGCGCTGACTTGAAGAACGTGACCGTTCTTGGAAACTTGTAGTTCTTTTCTTCGTAGTTGCTTGCAAATCTAGCAAGGTTGGTGCATGTCACGATGTTGCTGGAGAGTTTGAAACCCTGGGCACAAGTACATTAGTTAGGTAACGAGCAAGCATCAACTTTAAGATGCAACTGCTATGAGAAAAGCTCAGCCCTTCGTAACTGCGAAATAACATTCAGGCAAGGCTTTAAGAGACCAAGAGAAAAAGTTTCAGTCCTGAACTACAGTGACAACTTTCAAAACCCAGGGATGGGTATTTTGTGTCAACGGCCAATTGCAAACATGGCTGGATTCGTCCCTATTTCTCATCTTTCCATCTGCTTCTATCATTCCGTCCAAAAATCAGGTAAATGGCCGCAAGCACCACGAATTCCAGCTGTCCAGACCATCTCTCAGAACAGCTTTTGATGACCTAGCTGAGATTGAGTATCCCGACCAACTTTGTTGATGTCCGTTGGATCGCGCCCCAGGACGATGTCCATAGTAATACCGGCTTGAACAACCGCAAGGGCACAAGTGACGATGCCACATAGTTGTGTAACCATTGGTAAATAGTCTGCCTGAATCGCGTAAATGGTAGGCAGAGCTGCGAGGACTTGCGGACCAGCGTAGCAAAGCGGTAAAATTGGAGGAACCAAGCAGCTTCTCCACCCTTCAAGCAGGTGGCGGTACCTGTAAGTGATGGAGATGCCGACGAAAATGCTCGAGACGTTGCAAAAGGCCCACCAGCAAGGGAAAACATTGAAGACCAGCGGCTGGTGGCCGTAGTAGGTATAAATGCCACCATACATGAGCATGCATTCTTCGAGGATGATGTCCAGCAGGCCCGCAAAGCCGAGGAGAGCCCATAACGTTCCGGTTCGGATGTTACGCTGCAACGCGCCGAAGATGCCGCAGCTGAGAACGGCGCCGTAAGACCACCAAAATAATGCCGACGTATACGTCGAAATCACGGCCAAGGAGGGTGAACATGAGTTTTCCGGGGTCGTTGGACGCGGTCCAGTAGACGTTGGCCAAGTAGCAGTTGATTGCTTCAACAAGGACAAATGTAGCAGATCCGATTGTCAAGGCTGCAGGGACTGTTGAGCCCCAGAGCTTGCTTTCTCTAAGACTAATGCCCACGAAAGTGAGTGGTATAGCCAAGAGGATGATCGAAACAAACCGGACGTGATGCGGGTCTTGAGGAAAGTCGTCATTGGGTGGTGGGACGGTGCGATATGTGGGATCCAGTGTTAACTTTGAGTAGGCATTTTGAGCTACCGAGCCTGTAATCAGGCCGAGACCAAAAATCGACAAAAGATTGTGACGATGCATCGGAAAAGATATGCAAGGAATCAATGTGGCGGAGATTGAAAAGAGAAGAACTCAGGACTAATAGCTGTTGAATAAATGGTGGCTACTTATAACTCAGTCAAAATGTGTATGGCATGATGAGGCTCATCAGGTTTGCGTTGAAGATCCATCTAGGGAAGGTCGGAACCGATGAAATGACATATGGCTGATGAAAACCCATCGGCGTCGCAGCTAACGAGCCCGGAGGTGGGATTTGTCCGGCCCTAGGACCGGAGAAGTGGGGCCGGCCGGGATTATTCGATATCTGTCGGACGAGAAAGTCCGCACTCCTTTGTCACCGTCTCCCTCTTTTTTTTTAGGGTAACCTAGAGAAAAATTCAATTTTGTTTTTGTTATGTGATTGCCTAATTATTATCAAGCCAGAGGGGGAAAGCTACCCTGCCACAGCTTGGGTTGAGCAAATGAACATATTGGCCAACAACGTGGCAATTATTTTGATGAAACACACGCCTGGTTTCCACGGCTGCTTTCCGTCATGTCCTTGAAACAAATGTCGTAGGAGCCCTGTAAACAACTGAGGCTTTATAAGATCTGTTGCGACAAACTGCACATAGACCTCCGCGTCTTACCTTCGTCAGCTCCAGGATGGGATCCATCACACACGCCGGCGACAAGTCCTCACTAGATTATGGCCCTCGCGAGATCAAGTAAAGAGGCCCCAAAGCCGCCATCAAATGCTTATGTTGATGTATGTAGCCCGGCCAAAGCCAGAAAGCTTTCTGGTCTTCAGTGCTGATACCGCTCTTTGCGCGACCGGCTTTTCTGGCGACCCTGAGTCTCTGCGCAATCAGGGTGCCGGGACACCAGCTAATGACGGCAATCGAACTGCCGCTATCATTAAGGGCCATAAGGATGCACATGCTGGCAAGGTTTTGGGAGAATATGGAGTCTGTTCCTGGTAAAAGCGATGCCGGTCGTACTTCTCGAAACTCCATGAAGAAAATTGACCAGATCGATTGCACTTGCCATAATACTCTTGTATCATTGATGGGATGCGCATCAGAATAACCGAATGCGAACTAGTATGAGACTTGAATACATCGGATGTTAAAGATACCACTTGCCAGCCTAACTTTTCTTGTGGTCCTTACGTTTCGGTACACATAGTTGCTTAGTTTTAATCCCGTTATTGCTTGGGTTCCCCAGCAATTCTAATATGCTAAATACTCACAGTTTTACACTGATCTGTAGCATCTTTGATAAGATGCCTTTGGGTAGAAAAGTGTAGATAATGTCACACAGCTAGTGATTGGACAGTACTAATAAGTTACCAGTGGAATGCAGGGCGATCGGCTGGGACTATTGGTTGCGTCTTGTTCGGGCCAGTATGCAGGAGAGTTTCGGCTTTCGGCCGGCAGGTACTGCCACTCAGATGGTTCCAGCTGAATTGGCCGTGACCGTGTTCCCAGCCTATTTGGGGAATTGTGGCCGATGTAACCCGAAGCTTCGGACCTTTGATGGCGCCCAACGCCGGCTTTGCCTCCCACATCTCGGAACTAACCTACGGCATCGCACGCCTGAAATCCCTCGGAAAGAAATTAAATCTGTATTCCGAGAATTTCAAAGTCGGCCATCCTAGCGTTAGCGGTTGTAATGGCTTTGTTAAACGCTGCCTCTATAATTCATGCCGAGGTCGTTATATCTCCAGTGACATCGGCAAACCCCACCCGGACTCATGATATTTACCGTGATGCTGCTTTGATCATCAAGGAACTCGTCGACAATCCTGCACGGACTGCACCCTGGGATTTCGAGACGGTCCATATTGATGGAAAACCCATTGTTCAACGATGAGGAATCTAGCTCTGAATGCAAGAAAGGTTTGAAGCCTGTTCCATGTGAGTTAGAATGATCTGACCTGGGCCATGTCCTGCTGGACTGAGGTTCTTTCCGCCGTGCAGATGATGCAACCTGGCGTTGCAGCCGGCGTAATTTGAGTGGCTCAGTGTCGATCTGATCTGCACTCCACAACTCTAACATGACGAAGCCGGGGACACCCGCCCCTAGTAGCATGGGGCATGAGGCAGTTGGTGTCCGGGGAAGGCGGCTTTGCTCCAGAGGGCCCGTAAATAACCCTGATCCCCTCCCCCGTTCTCACTCTCCACGGCCGAGCCGTGGTGATTGCATTTCGTGCCGTAACCACAGCTGTCATGTCCAACCGAAATGCAAAAAGCAACACTTATTGTGAAAATTGCGATACGTCCTTTAATCGACGCGAGCATTATCAGCGCCATCTACGTACTCACGCCAACGAGAGACCGTTTGCATGCTCTGAGTGCGGACAGAGCTTTGGAAGAGTGTATGTATCGGGCGATTTTCTCAGTCTTTCATGTTTTCTTGCTTCAGAGTGATAGATCGATGACAATTCCCTGACCTCATGTCGGCAGAGACTCGCTTTCTCGCCACCACACTACGATCCACCTGGGCGGTGATCGCCAGAATCATAGCGATCGAGACAATCGCCGCGTCTCGCAGGCATGCAAGTCTTGTAATGCGTCAAAGGTTCGCTGCGATGGGCAACTACCATGTGAAAGATGCCGCCGGAGCAAGAACGACTGCTTCTACGAGCCTCTCGGAAAGAGGCGTGCGTCGGAGGTCCACTCAAACAGACCTGGTTCGAAACAACCGCGAATGAACAACGAGGATGACAGCAGCAATAAGTCCAATGGCGACGCCACAAACAACAGGATAGCTGATGACAGACACATTCCACCGTCACCTCCAGTAACTGTTCCCGACGACCGACCATTGGCCAGCAACTACATCGGAGATGGCCAGTCCACCAGATCAAGGGATCAGCCAGTGATTCTTGAAGAAACAGACGGTAGTCCCAACTTGAACTGCGCCAGTGGAGAAACGGATCCCGTTCAGTACCAAGAGCCCCCCCCCATTCGATTCGATATGCTGCTCGAGGGAACGGGTCTGTTTCTAGACCTAGATACGGCCGACGCAGCACCTACGCCCTCGATTATGCTAGGCACCTATGATGAGCCAATCAACTGGCTCGATTATAATCCTGATCTCAACTTCCTTCCCTATATTATGCCAAGCAACCCGTCTGCTCAGATGGCCTTTGATAAGCAGATAGAGAGATCGACAGTCGCACCACCTCATATTACAGCCTCCCGGAATCCGCCTCCTTCAGACCAGATGATGGACCAAGGCGCAGTGACGGAGCTATACAGCCGCAGCCACACGCCTGCCATCGATCAAGATGCCGTCGAGCTCAAGCATTATCACCCCGTCTCAATTGAAATGGATGCCCCACTTGTGTTCCCTGACATGACCCAACTCGGAGAGCAAGATATTGATGAGGAAGACCTTGCCTACGTCGATGAGCTTCCACAAGAAGCCGTGCAAAGGGTCATCGACTACGCCACAGATATGCAACGAAAACCGAGCTTCCCCCCTTTCATAGAGCTTCGCATCCCTCCCGGGCCGGTACTCAATGCTTGGATGCAGCTCTACTTTGAATTCTTTCATCCTGTGTTTCCCATCCTACACAAGCCCCCTTTTACATCAAAAAAACGTCACTGGCTTCTCATGTTCGCTGTGGCTGCAGTGGGTGCCCAATTTTCAAATATTCCAGACGCCCGTCGATGTTCGAGGGCGATGCACGAACTGGTCCGTCGGCAGTCAGCTGCTATGGTAAGCTATCAACCGATTAATTCGCGTCGTGAATTCAGAGATTCTGACTAAGAGCAGTGCGAGAGGGAGAACTACATGAGCCGTGAGCTGTGGATGCTTCAGACTATTGTCCTCAACCGCGTGGGTCTGATGTACGATGGCGACAGGCGGTCTTTGGAGGTTGCAGAGATCACGCAGGCGCTGCCAATCACCCTAGCAAGGCGGAAGGGTTTCTTCAATAACTTGTTGCCCATGCAAAAGTTTTCTCAGCTGCAATTGCCACTCAAGCATAAATGGCAGATATGGGTCTTAGATGAGGAACGAAGACGGCTGGGATTCTCGGTTTGGGTTGGTAGCTCCTCACATGCCGATTACATGCCAGTCGACGAGACTGACACCTAGGCTACCCAGCTTTTAGACGCTGCATTCGCTTCTAATTTCGAACTCAGTCGATTGGTGAGGGTATCGGAACTACAAATTCCCTTGCCGCAGCCTGATGATCGTTGGGCAGCTGCCAACGCACAAAGTTGGGCTGGGTTTTCCAACGTCCTCGGTAACTGTTTCTTCGAATAGAAAACTGTCAAGTGTTCAGAAAGCTAATTTGTAATCTCAGAGTACAACGGCACACATGGAGTGTTTACCATTGATCAGGTCGTGACGAATAACTGCTGGAAGTCTGCCTGGCCAAAGACGAATACAATCGGCAAACAAGTCATTCTTCAACGGCTAACGGATATCATATGCAGTACAGATGTACCCACTGACACAGCTTCCTCAGTCGAGGTATTGAACGATCTGCTTGACATGATTGAGAGCG